TTCTCTTTCCCTTGGTTCATCTTATCTACTTGACTTAACAAGAAAGGATCTACTTTTTGACTCTCTCTAATCTCATCTATTAGGCTATTGGTCACTTTCAAGGTTCCCAATCTAATACTTCTAAGGATCAACTCAAAAGCCCAATTAAAGTCTCTAAACTCTTCTAATAAGCTAAGCTCTTTAACCATCAAAGTAGACACTTTAAGGGATTTCCTACTCAATGCATCAACCATTACATTAGCCTTACCGGGGTGATAGCTAAGCTCAAAGTCGTAGTCCTTAAGAAACTCTAACCATCTCCTTTATTTCATGTTAAGCTATTTTTTTTGTCAAATAGGTACTTAAGGATTTTATGGTCATTAAACACCTTAAATCTAGATTTAAATAGGTAATGTCTCTGTAACTTTAAAACAAAAACTATTGCAACTAACTCTAAGTCATGGGTAAGATAATTTTGTTCATGGATTTTTAACTCCCTAGATGCATAGGCTACTACCTTCCATTTCTACATAAGTACTCCTCCTAAACCCATCTTAGAGGCGTCACAATACACTATAAAGGTTTCATTAGGGTCAAATAATGCTAAAATAGGTGCAATAGTCAGTCTCCTCTTAAGCTCCTAAAAGCTCTCCTGACACATAGAGTCCCACCCAAAAGGTTGGTTCTTCTTAGTCATCTTAGTCAAAGGTAAGGCTAACTTAGAAAAATCTTTTATAAACTTATAATACCCAGTTAAACCTAGGAAACTCCTAATATCAAAAACTAACTTAGGTGTTTTCCACTCGAGTACAACTTCTACCTTAGAAGGATCTACAACTATTTCTCTCTCGAAAACCACATGTTCTAAGAAACTCACACTATCTAGCCAAAATTCACACTTAGACAACTTAGTATAAAGCTTCTGATCCTTAAGGTTTTGCAACACTATCCTAAGATGCTTAGTATGATCTTCCCTTGTCTTATAATATACAAGGATATGATCTATGAAGACCACTACAAACCTATCAAGGTATACGCAAAAGATCCTATTCATGTAATCCATGAATACTCTAGGTGCATTAGTCACACCAAAAGGCATAACTAAATACTCGTAGTGCTCATAGTGGGTCCTAAAAGCAATCTTTTGAATATCTTTAGACTTCACTCGAATTTGGTGATAACCTAATCTCAAATATATCTTACTAAACACACAAGCCCCAACTAGTTGGTCCACAAGGTCATTTATCCTATGCAAAGGATATCTATTATTAATGGTAACCTTGTTAAGCTGGTAGTAATCCACACACAATCTCATGCTCCCATCTTTTTTTCTTCACTAGCAATATAAACACTCCCTAAGGTGATACACTCGACCTAATGAACTATTTCTCTTGAAACTCTTTTATTTGTTTCTTAAGTTTAGCTAACTCCTTAGGGGACATCCTATAGGGTGCTACACATATGGGTGTAGTACTAGGTACTAAGTCTATGAAAAATTCTGTCTCTCTCTCAAGTGGTAAGCTAGACATATTCTTAGGGAAAATTTCAAGAAAATCACTCACTAAAGGGATCTCACTAAGCTCACTTTCTCTCTCAAGTCTTAAATAGGAAAGAATCATATATACCATATCGTTTTCCTTTAAAAAAGTTTTATCTTATTAGCACTTAAAAACACTACACTCTTACTCTCAACAAAGGATATGGATTTTTTGAAGCAATTTAAAAGGACATGATTGAAAGATAATAAGTCCATTTCAAGAATGATATCTAGTTGACTAAGAGACAAACATATGAGGTCAACCGAAAATTTCTCTTCAAAAATAAAAATAAGACACTTAAGATAAATAATAGAAGTAGTTATAGGACCATTAGTGGGAGTCTCCACAACCAGATCATAGCTCAAACAAGACATGGTCAATTTCAATTTTTAGACGCATGCAAAAGAAATAAAGAATGGGTTGCACTAGAATCAAACAGTAAAACAAAGTGATTCTCAACTATGAAACAAATACCTTGTATTAGATTCTCAAATTGAGCAACTTTAGCACCACTAAGAGCAAATACTCTTCCAGTAGTCTTTGAATGCCCAGATTGAGAACTATCTCCCACTCCAATTATGCGTGGCCTGGGCAGCTGTGGACATTGAGTACTAATATGACTTTTTCCATTGTAGTTGAAGCACATGATCTTTTTATTCGAATAGTTATAATGTTCATACCCATATTGCCCACACTTCTTGCATCTACTAATAGGTGTAGAAACAAAGCCTCTTACACTAGCAGTACCATTCATGAAAAAGCCTCTAACAACAAACTTACTTCCATTGCCTCTAGCACGATTCCCTTGAAACTTGGCTGAAGTAAAGTAAGACTTACTTCTACTCTGACCACCAAATCTCCCATCACAAATAGGACCACTTCCCTTGTAGAAAAAAAACATAGTGATACATCTCCTGGGAATTGATTGTTGTCTTCACTTCAAGACAAAGGCCATTCACTAATTTAATTCACTTAGACCTTTCATTACCCTTACATGGTAGTGAGAGCAATAATGGACAAGCTCATCAAACTTAGCAACATATTCAGTAACAGTACCATCTTATTACTTCAGTTCAAGGAATTCCACCTCTTTCTGACTCCTCACATCATTAGGAAAATACTTCTCAAGAAAAACCTTCTTGAAGTTATCCCAATTAACTAGCATTACTTCATCCATCATCCTTTGTAGAGCTCCTTCCCACAAAAGTAAGTGTCAGATGTCAACATGAAGGTAGCAAGATTCACCTTTTGAGTAGCAGGACACTCCATAGCCTTAAATATTTTCTTAATATTAGTCAACCAATGCCTTTCGAGTCATATCCTTTCTTAAAAGAGGGTAGATGGTTATGTTGAAAGTGCTCCAGCTAGCTAGGAGTAACTCTAGTTCTATTAGTCTCTATAGCTCTTACTAACACTTGAAGAGCATTAACGATAACATGATCATTCCTACCAACCATAATTTTGATACATAACAACAAAAAAATTAACTATCACATCAAATATAACAAATGAATAATTAGAGAACATATGAAAATGTAGATAGACACACAATACACACATCTTATTTAAATCAATTAGGCTCTAATATCACTAAATGTGACACCCTTTATCCTGCATGCCATAACACATATTATAATATAAATTGAATAACCGCGATGTAATAAATGAACTCAAAGTCACACAAGTAGAGAGAATCACATTTTAATATCAATTAGACTTAGCAAAAATAACAATTACAAAGGAAATAAAACCAGACTATTCAAATTAAATAACATGAATCAAATACTAGCTAGCCCTAACTAATCCCCAATGTCACATGTCCTATTAGAGCAAAACCCAACATTGAGGACTAGGCCACATCACCAGCACCCTTAACATCATGTTGATGATCACTTATAACAATCACAAAAAGACAACATATAAGAAAAGGGAGTGAGAAACATCTCACTCTAGCTAGCTCACGGTGCAGGAATACAAACTAGTTAGCAAAACACAAACAACACATATAGTAAGATGTAACATACACAGTTACACATTATCATCATACTTAATTCATTCATAACATAAAAAAACAACAAATATGATTATAATGTGTATGCAATGGACACGAACTACATGTTATCATGCATGAGGCGCTAATAAAAATATCACACTTATGCATTGTTGCTAGCAGTACACTATAGTAATTTAGGAGTACATGTCGGGTCACACCCTTTGTGCACTCTCACTAGAAGGACATGCTACCAGAGTTTGGTCGGGACAGTTAAGTCACACAAGATACATCCTATGCTCATGAGGGCACGACTGAGACTTCCAAACCAAGCTATCCCCAAGGTTGGTTTCCAAGCTTTTACACAAGGGACTTTCCCTAGTAGTGTATTCCATATCGTACTATTACAAAAACATTTTTATGCATATAATGCATGAAAAATTGATTTTATGCATTACATTCACATGATTCCATAATCTAATATCTAACATTCTCCTCATATTTACTTTTCATTCATATTCATATGTTCATTGATAAACCAATTTTTGTATATCTTTCTATGCGTTATTTTTTGGTTTATTTGACTTTTATTATTACCATATTGTGATATATTAGCTTTGATTTGTTCTAGTGAGTCATTTTGGTCTTAGCTATAAATTTTAGTTAATTTCTATAACTTTTCTTATTTTGACATTGTTTCTTATGCAGACCATATTTAGAGTTCCTAACATCAGACTTGGACGTTCTTGGTCTCCTTGAAAAGATAAGAGAGTTCTACAACTTTTCTGTTGAAAGCAAATGCAAGTTTAGACAATAAGTTACCCAAACTTGCATTGCAAAGTTGCGGTCCTGCACAATATTTTCTTTTTTCTTTTTAGATTGTAATGTTAGGATTTGTTTACAAGTGTAATTAATTGATTTAGTGGGTTGGACCTTTAATTAATCATATTATGCCCATTAGTGTAGTCTATAAATAAGTGTAAAACACGTACACTTAACATCATATACCTCATTTTTCAAATTTTAGAGTTGTTTCCTCTGTAATTTTTCTAAATTTTCACTCTCTCTTGCTTACATGAATTGGATTGCTGCAACATGATTATGAATCGTGACTAGTTGGTTAATTGATTCCAGGTTTAAGAACTATGATAAAATTTGAGTTCCTGATCCTTTTACCTAACAAATTCTCTTTTTCTCTTCTTCTCTGTTTTGAAATTTTATTTTGTTTTTCATAATTTTGAATTTCATTTTGGATCTAGAACAAAGATTAGAGATTATTTTTAGATTTAAATTTAGACCTAAAGTAACCTAAATTGCTTAACTCAACCGTTCACTATACCATTGAATTTTATTAAAATTGTGATATCGCAATTGCATTTTATGTTTTTGATGGAATTCATAGGTCTAGATCTATATCTATATATATTTTTATTATTATGTTCATGTTGAAGTATGTTGATTAAAAATTCGGATTTATTGTTAAATTATGAAAATTTTACTATATATGGAATGAAACCTTAAATCGATACTTCTCTTATTAAATTTCCAATTCCTAATTATTTGTTTGTTGATTGAATACTATTCAAATATTAAAAATCTCCTTGCTAACTGCATGATAAAATATGAGTTTAATGTGCTTGTGTTTTTGAAGAATGACTCAGGTTGTTCCATGTATTGCAAATAAATTTTAGGGGAAATCTAGTTTACTTTTGATAGTGACTTGACAATGCTATCATTATCAATTCATATCACATTAACATCGTAATAAAGGATCACAAAATAGAATTCAACAAAAGCACAACGAGAGATTCATAGGTAGGACGACACCCAACGACACATGCCTTGTGCCCAGAACGAGTCCTCTAGAGGACCACATTGGTATCTGTCTGACCACACCTGACGTGACTGAGCCCGTGTCTAGCGAGAACACCATCGAGAGCTTTCTAGAGTGTCCATGCCCAACGTGAATCAACTCACATCTGACAGAAACATCACAGGGAACTCCTAGAGCTTCCACACTGACAAGAGTCATCCCACGCTCAGCGTGAGAAACCCGAAGAGCAACTTTTGCTTTCGGCCTCGATGACCCTTGATGCTCTTCAAGTGGAACTTGGCAATGTTTCAAAAAACAAACATAGTAGAAAATATAGAATTTACAAATCATGCATCAATTCATCAAATGCTTAATTCAATCAGTAAACATGTTCTATAACAAGCAATTAACATTCAATATCACCCAATTTACACATACAACCAATATCTTTACTCAAAATCACATTAATTTCCCTTAGGATTTCCTATGGGAACCAATAGGGATGTCAAATCATACAATTATCATCCAAAGTACAAAATTAATCATACATTCGAATAATTCATGACATTAATTATGAGTAAGAAGGATAGGAGCAAAACAGAAGCATTAGGAAAAAACCTCAAACATGAGCATACAACAAACACAAGACTAGGGGTTAATCCCATTATCCAGGATACAAACTACACCCAGAGCGAGGTTTCTCATTCCCCTTACCTGGATAAGCTCTAGACGACATGTGCGCAACTCTAGGTGATTTCTTTCCTGCTCTTGCTCTCTAAGCTTTGAAGTGCATACGTGAAAAGTGAGAACGTAAAAACTGATCAATTCTTTTTTAAAACTTAACCTTTCCTTAACCATATAGTTAAAACATATTAACTACAGTTACAAAATTCTTCCCTCTTAATAAAATATTTTTATATCCTTTAATAAAATATCATATATTATGTTCTAAAATATAACAAATAATTAAAATAAATATTAAACAATTTTTATTTATGAAAATAAAAGTATTATTAACAAAAAAAACTTATATTATATTTTATGAAAAATGGGGTGTTACATAAATTATTAAAATTTGATGTAAAATATAAATTATTTAGAGAAGTAAATTTAGATAGACTTACTCTTAAAGTAAGTAGATCCCTTATATATATATAGATGTGTGTGTGTGTATGGAATAGACTAACAAATTTATTTTATTATTATGTCATGTATAAAAATTCAAATTATTAAAGTTTTTTGGTATAGTTTTTAATATTTTTTTAGTAAAATTTAACATCAAGTTGACGATACTATAAATAAAAACAAAATATTGTTATTGTTGATTTTTAATAGACAAATTATAAAAACTAATTTTATAAATGTCTAAAGTAATGCATATTCAAATATTTGAAGACAACATATATTAAAAATACGTTGGGGTCAAACTTTATTTCTATGACTAAATAATTAAATATTAACCCTCTTTAAATGGTTAAACAACGTAACGTTAATTATGATCTGATATTAAGTAAATGGTATAAAAATTAATATTAACTTAATAATATTCAAGCTAAGTTTTACTTTTTAGTTTTTATTTTTATATCATAAAAATTAGTATAATGAGATGAAAATAGAAAGTAAAGGTGCAATTTAACCTAAATATTATTAAATTAAATAATTATTGTGTTATCTATAAATATATAATAATGGGACAAAAATTGATGATTTTATAAAATTTAGAGGCTAAAATTGTGGAATTAAAAAATGAAGGATTAGAATTGCGAATTTGATATTATAGGAGACAAAAAGTGCAATTTAGCCTAAAATTTATATAATCAAGAGACGATTTATGTAATGAAGATAATGCATACTATTGAAAATTCACAAATAGTATTTGAATGAGTTCAAGTAAGTTTTATAATTTTAAAAGTTATTAATTTAAGTTCTTATTTTATTATATGTTTTATAAATTATTACTAATTGTTGTTCTAATTTTCCTTAATAAATATTTATAGATCGATCACCATTGTTGTTA